CAGTAAAAAAATACTTTTGCATTAAATAGGTTTCTCGTCTCTAATATTCGCTTATTATTCTTACACAACAACATGAGAATATCAAGTTTGTTAATATGAATGTAACGCTCGATATTTCATCACATCTATCCAAAAAGAAATAAATAAATTTCTTTAGATAAACGCGAAAACTCGATTCGTCTTTTCTAAGAATATTTTGTGAGAATTACGGCAATTCGTCGTATTTATTTCGTCACTTAATTACGTGTGGATCCAAGTTGGCCAATAGTCGATGGCCGGAAGAATCATATTAACCTGGTGTGTCACGATTTTGGCAGTAGTGTCTCTCTATTTGTTTCCTGATGTGCCGACATTATCACAGGGCGTGTTAAAAGACACAAAACATTTATCTTGGCTATGAGAAAGGCGGTGCTCATCTTCTCATATATTGTAATATGCAGACGAAACCCGAGAGGCAAACTGCCGGCATCGTTCTGCCACACAGGTTTATATTTATACAAGCCGGCTAGCTTATAATAGCAACCCAGCCTCGTGTTTGTACAAAATGCATTCATATACTTTGCCTTAGGTCAAGCACTTGTCTCCCAAGCCTGACCAGATTTCTTTACATGATTATACTTCAGACAGACGTATACGAATCGACACCTTCTTCTACGGCGCGAATAATCCATTATTATCGTTCCTTATTTCGGAATAATGTGCATCCAGATAGTTTTCTCGATTACACGTATCTTCAATCACAATATCAGCATGAGATTCCATTACAATTAAGATATCAAAGTTTTTTGAATTTATACTAGATATATCGAAAAATGTCCTAGTTACTATTAGAATTGAAGCAATTCTAAGATTTCTAAATTCTAAAACTTTCAAAATTGAAATTACTATGACTTTTCTGAAACTCTTTCTTATTCAGAATTGCAAAAATTCTAACTTTGTAGCATATATGTATTAAGAAATTTTCTCGCTCTCTTTAGTATTTTTCGTTAAAAAACAATGAGTGTTTTTTCATTTCCTCTATCCTGTACACATTATATTAACGAAAAACTTCAAGAATTTATAAATAGAGGTGTAAAAATTGAGTTACTGATGGAATTTTAGCAACCGTAGAGTACTGACGGAGCGTCCATTGTCTGGATCTAATTTTATCAACTTATTTGCTACGGGCAGTTATGCGGATGTAACATCGTGAAATTCTATGCCGAGTAGTTCATGGTATAGAGATCTGAGCAGAAAGTTTATAAAACAAGCTAAGCTCATTTTAGACAGTTCTCGCTTTGAACTATTCATTTTTCTAATTACTTGTTACCTAGTTAGGTTTAATGTTATCATTATCAAACCATTCTTTCATTTCTTCCTTTCGATATCATAATTGAAAGACGAAGATTGACCACTAGGGACTAGTCACCTTTATGTTTCATAACTATCCCGGATAGGTGGAGCTTAGAATTAAGGGGAAGGAAAAGTAACAAGAAAGATCGTATTTAATTAGAAATCCGTTCTATAAAGAGGTACAGTGGGAATTGTAGAGTGCGTCTAGACATCTAGACGAACCTTGCAATCTAGAATTCCGGGTCCCGTCTAGACTAAGGTCAAGACTGAATCTATATAAAAATAGTGCACGGCTATTTCGCGTCAATTGTCGTGCAATGAACTTTCATTTTAGCGTAACTGTATTAGTTGTAGCGGTGCACATTTTTATTTGGAGTACAAGAATTTTAACTGCAATATTACAATACACAAATCATACAATATGGTAATTCTATTCTGATTTTTTAAATGACTAAAAGTTACTTTGTGACATAATCGATTTTTATTGAGAAGATAAATATTAAGTAAGAAAAGAAGAAGTACCGAGTGAAACTACTTGCTTAATGTCACAATTTTCGTTTAATATATTATCTTTTCTTTTTATTCTTCATGAATGAAAATTCTTCGTAAATACATTGCGGCTCCCTGTTACATCATCGTAGCATGTCGATCGATAAACGCATTAATATCATCGTCGTAATAATATTAAGTAATTCTCGATTACAGAAATCATCAATTAAGTAATACGAATTAGGAGTAATTTCAACTGAAAATAAATATTTACAATATGAAATGGAGATAATAAAACGTGAGTCTTTTCGGTATGTACATATCTACTAAAAAAATATTGGATGCAAATATATAATGCAAATATATAATACAAATAGATAAGTTAAGTAAGTAATATATAAGACAAATAGACAAAGTTACAGAAGCAAATTTTTCATGAAGTCGAATTTTACCGGGTTCGAAATAAATATAAAGAGATAGGGGATTTTGGCAAAGAGCCGCAATTTCTTCCCCTGACGGCTAAAAATAACCTACAGGAATACCACCGACTGTTATCTTATTTTATGTAGAAGGTATCTTGTTTCTAATGCACAAAACAATAAAAAAGAAGGAATCTGTGTTGTAAACGTACTTATGCTTCAAATAAATACAGTATACATATATCTAAATAAATCTACAAATTAATTTTATTTTTTAAATATAATGTTTTAAACATAATTATATAAACGCAATTTATTGTGTAATTATAAGAAATGAAATCATTGCAATTCATCAGATATTTTTATTTTATACTTCTAATTTTAAAAGGTGTGTCATGTTAGGTTTTTAAATATGGCCGCTCGATCATGTTCATAAGAATAGAATCACACGTTTTATTGGAAAAGAAAAAGGAATGGCGATAATTCAGTTCGTTATAATGTAACTTTAAACAATTAATTTTAAAATATAATTATGCGAAGAATAATTTATGTGAGAACACTATACATAACACAGAGTATAGAATATTAAATTCGCGCCAATCTATCAAAAAGTAAAAAAGAGATATCGCGCATGCGTCCAAAGGAAACATCGTGAAACTGAGCGCGAATTGGACCGATTTTCGCAAAATAAAACGAGACACATGCGTTTTGAGTTGTTATAATTAATGAAATAATTGTTCCTAACATAAATAGTAAATTAGACAGTCATAATGAAATAAAAATGTACACGTTTTTATGCATCCACATTTATGTTTTAGGAGGTTATTGTTCGTTGTCTATGGAAGATATAATTCATATGAAGGTCATTGGGTCAAGACCGGTTACCGGCTACGTTATCACACATCCCAATTGAGCTTTCAATGACTGTAACCTTAAGGCAAAGTATGTGAAAAAAGAAACGATCGAAATACATATATTGTTAAACTTAGACTTACCACCCATGATTGAAAAATTCGTATTTCTTTTTTAACGGACCGATTTTACACACTCAACACTTGCCGATGCCCGCACGACTAACAAGAAGCCGTACAGTACGCACTTCATCAATGCTACAAAACGAGTGACGACTTGCGACTCTCCTTCCATGTCACGTCGCTCTCCCCTCCTTTAAAACCGTTTATCCTCACTCTGTATTATCGACTGAAGATTCAGCAAGCACTACTACACGAACAAAATATATATATATATATATATATATATATATATACTTTTATATGGTGTATATACAAGCATATGTACATATAATAACAGAAATCTTTTATTTTTAATTTGTAAACTTCTGTCAATTGTTTATTAGTTTATCATTAATGATAGAAATGTTAATAAATGACAGCGAACTCCAAGTTCTGAAGCGACGTGTAGCTTGTTCTAAATAATAAAATATTAATTTTTCATATATTCAATAAACATAGTTTGAACCTTTTTTAATTAAGAGTAATATAAATTCTACTTTAAAACTTCATCTTAAATTTGTTTATATACTTCGTGAACATTAAATGAACAAAAATATGCATAAAATAATATACAAAAGAAAGAGATTAAGTAAAGGAGCACTTACTCGGTCATTTATCTTATAAAATCGTATAAACCGAATAAAAATCAAAGTTGTAATAAACAAGTGCAGTACCACAAATGAGATACAGATAGTTACATGATACATATCACATCACATACCTCTTTTGTATTAGTACGTTCATATGCGCGAATTTCACAACCATTCGCGACACCTATCGCGAAAACATTGCAGTAAGCGATGCGTCGTTTCAGTTCCGGGCGTTTCTCGACGACAAACAAACATGCTTCGTGTAGCGGGAGGAGATACAACAGTCGACAAAATTCTAGCGATTTGTTCGCTTGTGCGTTCTAATTCTTCTAATCTAATGGTGTAGATAGTTTGACACCGTAAAATGTAGCTCGAACACCTTAGACCGAATTTATCGTCGCGGTTGAAAAACCGCGCACCCATGAGATCAACTTCCATTCCCATCTCCAGCACGTTGACGTTCACTGAGGAGTGGCGCGCAAAAAGATGGCCAGCTCGCCGACCAGCATCGAAAATCAAATAGACAGTTTTTTGGAACAGTTCAAACGCAGTGCCTCCCGCGCAATGGAAGAGTCTCATAGGTCCAGTTATAATGCTTGTAGCAGTAGTATCAGTCATAGTCGAAGTGGAAACCTGGATCTCGAAATCTTGGAAGCTGGTAAGTTTTCGAGAATTTTGTATAATTTCAGTATAATTTATTGTCTTGTCAGGTTCAAATTTTAGTTATTCTCCACTACTCTTTCTGTTACTTCCTCCACCGCATGCACTTACTTTCAATTCTGCACTGTTTTCGATTGATTTTTTGGGCGTTCCTTGCATATTTTGATACATTCGCTTTCTAATAATATTGTTAGTTTGAATACATTTAAACTTAATGTTTCATAGTTTCCTTATTGTCTTTTGTTAAATTATATTATAATTGTAAGTTTGCGTAGTAAGTCTTATCTTAAGTTTAGTATATTATGTATTGTTTTAATTTTTGTCATAAATGCGTTAAATGTATAAACTTTTTTTTTAATGGTGGATAATCATTCTTATTTACTTATCTTGCATGATATAAATTAAAAATTATAGTATATTTAAAGAGCAGACGTTTTATACGTTATTTGGTTTAATTATTATACGTCAAAACTTTCATTAGGATTATATCGTACAATGAAGGAATTATTGCATACATACGCATTCATATTATTTATTTCTTATAACATAAATGCTGCAATTGAAAAGATATGTTAAAAATCTATCACGCGACCCTTTTATAATCCAGTCTGTTTTCAAATCAATGATAAAGTAATAACATAGTAGAATTATATAGAATTTTAGCGTAATCCACGTTTAATCGGACACTTTTGACTGACATGCTGCAAGTCACGTGCTGTTACCCCACTTTAGGAATCGAGTCTTTCGTGATTGGTTGTTTCGTCTTGTCTTTACTTCTACTGTGGAACATTATGGCGTCGCATACTCTGTTAGGTTACGATAGAGGTCGTCGTCCGTTGTAGGTGTTTTATGGTGAAAAGTCATAAAACTGCAGGATTACAAGTTGCGAGATGCATTCAATAAAGTTTTAAAAGCACCGAATCAATGTAATCATCTTTATTTTATAATTAGAATTTTTACATCAATATATTATATATTATTAACAGATTTACTAATTAATTCATTTTATTCTTGGATAAAGTGATCGCGTTGCAGTTATTTCGAGGCATTGAGTGCGTAAGACTAATTGGAAATATAGACTATAATATCCGAGCGGAAAATAAAAATCGACTATAATGAAATTCCATCAAATTAATGCACACGAACAAATTAGAATATTTCATATATATCAGTAATAGAGTAGACTTGTAATATTGACGATAAATCAAATTGTTGCGTGAAGTGTTGATTTTATCGATAATATCGCGTGATATTTTGTAACACGTAAAAAACGATTATTTAGTGAAATAAAAAAGCACAGTATGATTCTTCGACGAAAGTCAACACACGGCTGCAACTGCCCCTGTCATCAACACTGCTCGACGAAATGTGCAGGTTTGGATCAGACACTTTATTCTACTACTTCCTAAATTAATTTAATACATAAAAATGTCACTAAAAGAAATATTCCAAAAATTCGAAGTACAAACGATCTGCGCGATAATTATATTTTCCTTTTATAATTTTATTCGAACTATAAACAGATTATTGATTTATGAGACAACCCGATTTGTTTACATGTTAGTGATAGTCATATTACATAAACACAAAATCAATATTATAATTATAAATTTCTAATACAATTTAATGGACAACTTGCTATGATTGTCAATTTCATATCTCAAATTCATATTACAATGAATATATGAATATGTTCTTACATATGTATATGTATATACGTAATACGTTTTAAAATTTCTTTTTTCATTATTTGAATATGTATATTTAAATATATCGTGACTTAATGATTCTTATGAAAATCGAATCCAAATTTAAGTAAATTTGGAACAATGTTTTTTAAATAATATATGACATAACTATTTATTAAACAAATTAGCAGAATTATAGATTTTTCTTTGTTCATCAAAGTTAAAAAGAATTTAAACAAATGTTGATTATTTGAAATTATTTTGACAACTTTAGCAATTTATACGAATATAACATGGAAATTGTTCCATTTATACGGGACTAGCACTGTTATCCCCTCCACGATATATTAAGAACTAGATTCGCCATATCATTAAACGTAGTGCTTTATAATGTTACCCGGTATTATTAAAATTTGCGAAAAAATTATGCCGTGACAGCATACATTTCAAATGTGGTATTTTTTCAAAGATATTTATAATTGACTGTGAAAATAATCGCGAGGTCAAATTAAAAAAAGGTAAGTAAAATTTGACTTGCCACATACCCATAAAGATGGAAAGCCATTATGTGTAGTGATTCTCAACCTTGTCAATGTCGGATGTAGTTTTCTAAATAAAAATCAAAATAATAAATTCGTTTCTTTGTTTCGTCATTTATGTTATTCGTTATAATTTCCTTTATCATTTACTTTATAATTTCTGACTTATTTTTTGCTAAATAAATTTAAACAAATTTTATAATTGACACAAACATATAACTAACATTAATCAGCTGATCACTTGTTTAGAATCTTTCTATTCGAAATTTTTATTGTAAAGTATTTTTTAAACAGACAATACTTGATTTATATCATCGATTTTTTTTTATTTTTGTTTGTATAATTTTATCATTGAAATATTACTGTTTACCAGAACATATAAAGAGTTAAAAGATACTTCATTGTATAATATTAAGTGGAATATGGATACTAATTTATGTGAAAAAAATGAGATTGAAATGCAACCAGATATTGTAACATTGCAAGATACTTTACGTAATAAAAATCAAAAGGTAGAAGTATCCACTTGTCAATGTATGGTTAATGATGAGTTGACATATACACAAATAAGAGAAAAGGTAAGTAAACATCTGTGTTAAAATGATATAAAAAAGAATATTTTTATGGTAGTATATATCAATATCAATTAATCGTTATATCTTTTAATTTTATACCAGTATAATGTTAAGACATGAAGTTATCTATTAATAATCTATTAACAACATTTTCTATAATATATAAAAAAACTTTTATATTACAGAAAATACATATGGATGCAACAAGTAGTACCTTCAAGCCAAAGAAAAACGTAACAAAAATGAAAGTGAAGAAACATAAAAATGAAGGAGAATCAAATTATGAATCTACAAAGTTAGAAGATAGTCTAACTCAAGTGCTACAAAGATTTAAAAGAGGATGTGAATGTCAGGATGATCAGTGCTTTAAAGGTTTAAATCCTGAAACAGTATATCGTCATAGATTGAATATTGCAGAATTAACAAAGGCTGAACATGATATGTATTTAATGGGTGTTACCATGGCCTGTTTGACCAATCCATATGAAACGGTACGACATACAGAGCGACGTAGATTACGTGCACAATATGTATATCAGGGTAGAAGAGTATGTTTGGATGCTTTTTTATACCTAGAAAACTGTACACATTATCAAATAAAACGAATTAGGAAACACTTAATGACCCATGGTGTTACCCCACGAGTTCATGGAAATCATGGAAAAATTCCTCACAATACGTTTTCCTTAGATATTTATAAAATTGCTACAGAATTCTTAAAAAATTTTATTGAATTGCAAGAAACAAAACAAAAGACGAAAGTTGCAAAAAATGCACAATTACATCTTCCATCAAACATTACACGCAAAGTAGTGTACAATTCATATATACAGTATTGTAGAAAAATGTCTCCTGATATAAAAATAATGGGGTATTCAACATTTAGAAGATTTATGAAAGTTCAATTCCCACAAGTAAAATTTTCTAAGTTAGAATTCATGATCAGGAATCAGAATATACAGAATCAAGGATGTAGTAAAACTGACTTGGAGAAAAAAGATACAATTGATGATGGAACATCCAAATCAGCAGATCTGATAACAGAAGGCAATGCCATATTACCTTTATTAATTGCTAGCCAAACAGGACAAAGTGATACTTATTTTTTAACACCAATTAGCAAACTACAAGATGGCGTGAGTTATCAGATAACTACAAGTGGACTTCTAGTCAATAAATCAGCATTACCTGTCTAAAATAGATGATGTTAAAAAATAAAATGTCTCTTACATTTAATATCTAAATACAATTAAAAAGATAATATATTTGAAAATATACATATGAAATAAAATAAAATTTTATAAAATGACTGTATAAATTACCCAATAAAACAGGTATATTTTCTTCATATGCTTATATTATTATAATTAAAAAATATGCCTGAGGTAGATTGAGTGTTCAAGAAATAATACATTAACGGTCTTTTTATTAATTCATAAAAATCCGCTCATTAGTTATTAAATATTTATTTTATTTAAACAAACAAAGGGAAGAATCATGATTTGATGTGTGGTTGTGTCATATTGATTTATAATCTGTAAACCAAGTATGTATATATAATTAATATAATTATATATATATAATTATACACATATATATAATATTTTAGATAATAAATAATTTGTATTTTTTCAATTTATGGTTTTTTTCTTATTATACCCTATCTGCATAGTTGTGGAACAATCACATATTACAAATAAGAGTAATACAAAAATGTAGTTATCGTAAGTATGTCCTATCAGGGCTGAATTCTAATATATAAATCAAAAGGGTAGAAAATCAGTAATCACTTTAAGAAAATATTAACATTTTATTATATTAACATTAATATTATATAAAATTTGAAAACAGTATATTAAAATTAGACATTTTAAAAAATTGCAAAAAGGGGAAACTGTACAAGTAAATGTTAAACTTTGCTATTTAAAATAATAACACGAAAATTTAATTCATAACAAACTGTGTTCTATGTATATATTTATTTTACAATATTTATTATTAATAATTTATTAATGATAATAATGCTATACTTAATCATAATTATATTAACATATTTTTTATTCTAGAAAGATTTGTTTTTTTATAGAAGTATATATATCTTCATAATTATAATAATGTCAATTTATAGTTTGAGAGCCTCTTCCTTTACAGTTATAGCTGAAATATTGTAGATACAGCAGGAAACTACTTCATTTAGTTGGAATCAGCAAGGTCATATAAGTGCACTCTGAGATCTCACTTTGACATATAGCAAATATTGCATAAGTGATTATCAATACAATTGTATATAATTTTACTAAATACTTATTTTAAATAACTATAGAGCTATGTAGTTGAAGTTATTTTTATTAAAAATTATTAATACAATTTATTTACAAATTTATTGTGTAATTATATTGTATGTTCAATATTATGTAAATACATCATGAGATATATGTGTTGTAATGATGTATAAATATTTATATATTATAAAATGGAAATATAAGTACTTTGATTCATAGTATTATTCAATCAGTCATAACATTATTTAATATTACATATATTGTATATATTTACATTTTAAAATATGTAATTCACTTGATTTTACATTTTTTAGAAGATGTAGAGAGCATGACAGGTGAGATTGAAAATGGAGATTTGGCAATCCGAGATGTTGCAGACCTTCTTCAATCACAGTATGCTATTATAGCAGGTAAGATAATATTTGATTAATATTGTTGAAGAATATATTATTTAATCATTGCATTTTTAAAATAACACGTTCCACATATATAGGAGGAAAAACTCGAGAAGGATGTCCTATAATTACTTTTCCAGATAATGGTAATTTTCATAATTTATCTGACTTGGATTACCAACGTCTCATGCTGTATCTTACTTCTGTGCCAACGTGAGATTTCAACTTTCAGTGTTATTAATATGTACAGTTACATGTTGGAAAAATCATTTAAAATATCTGATAATTTTTAGATTACAAGAAGCAGATCTTGGATTCCACTTAATTATTGATAGAAGAAATGATAAGTGGAACTCTGTGAAAACTGTGTTATTAAAGATCTCTGTGAGCATATATATATATAATAAAACATACAATGATAATATAAGGAAAAGTTTTGATAGTTCTGTTAGTAATTATCTTATATTTTAGGGCTTTTTTCCTGGTTTAGTTCATGTAGCATATGTTCTGCGTCCAGCTGGATTTTTACAAAAAGCTATTTCAGAAGTATCAAACAAGCTATTTAGAGAAGATTTCAAATTTAGAGTTATATTTTTAGCAAATGTTGCTGAACTTCATGAACTTATAGATAAAGATCAGTTAACTGAACAACTGGGTGGTACCTTGCCATATTGTCATCACACTTGGATACAAAATAGAATTGTAAGTAGAATAATAAAAATAATATAAAAATAACTACTTCTCTATATTAAAAATTTTTTAGAGTTTAGAAAAATTTTCATCAATGACTCAAGACGTATCTCTCGCATTGGATTCTTTCACTCGGCGTTTAGCCGAAATTGAATTTCCTAATAATACAGTTGCAACTACATCTTTACTATCTCAACAACAAGTAGAATACAATGAATTAAAAGAAGAAATTCTTAGTGCTGCAAGACATGGTGAAGCACTATTGGATAGTGTAAGACAATTAACTGGCAAGGGAACAGCTGATAGATTAGGAAATGTTGCAGCAATAGAAAGGTAGAAGATAATTTAGTTCAACACTAATTACAACAATTTTTCTTTATTGAGAACAAGAATTAAAAGTTATTATTTGTTTTTAGATTGCTTGTTCAGTTAGAAGAAACAGAACGCACTTTTGACCTGTTTTGGACACATCATAGTTCTCGTTTGAGACACTGCTTAGCATTAAGACAATTTGAAGCTGACTTTAGAGAGTTACAAGCAATATTAGATCAACATCTAAAAACTATAGAAGAAATGACAGAAGTAGGAGAAACTCAAGCAAGGGTTGAGCAGTTAGTTTGTGACACATCAGCATTTCAAAGAATATGTAGAGTATGTACCTTTATTTATACATATATACATGCATTTTTATTACATATTAAACAAACATATATTCTAATCTATGCAAAACAACAAAAGTACACAAGCAATAAAATAGAGCTAATCTGTCTAAATAAATATATTTACAAATCTGGGTCAATAATATTTAAAAATACTTCTATATAAAATAATTGTTTATATCACTTTCAACTCTATATAACTAATAAAATTATATGATGAAAGAAAAACAAATATTAATATTAATATCAATATTTTAAGTTTGAGAATGTTCACAATGCACTTAAGGCAGCAAGGTATAATATTCGAACCAGTATTATAAAGCATTTATTTTAATACATTTATTTTAGATATTTAAAAATTGAGATATGTATATAAATTAATATCCACTACAAAATTGTTAAAAAATTTTAATAAAAATTCTGGTTTGAATAATATTTATATGTAGATACACATACATATAATGCACATCATGCACAAATGTTATTTTGCATCGCTTTCCTCATTTTGTCGATAGTCCTATTTGTTGCATACCATGTGGATTTGGGTCTTGGTAAGCAATCCACTCAACAAAATACATATATTTTGTGATAGATTTACATATTTAAATACGACGATAATAATTATTTCAATTTTTTAATTCTATTTACTGTATCTTGAAATACAATAAAATAATTATTAAGTATAACAATTTATGGGTTTGTGAATTAAATCCCTATCAAACGTTTAGTTATGTCAACTGCATACTCACGCACATTTAAAGCTTAAAAATTACTTATCAAAAACGAAAAAAAATAGGGATTTAATTCATGCCTTATACTGGCATGATGGACTTTGAGAATGAATGTCATTATTATTTCTCACTTTACACTGCACGTAAGATAGTACTTTTTTTTTTAATACTTTTTCTAGACAAAACAGTGACAATTGATGAAAACATTTGATGACTGTTTGTAGTTTTCTTATTAATGTTATTTTCATATTTTTAAACATGAATAAAATTACATACATTTATAGGGAGATATAGAACGAGCAGAGGAGGTGATATCTGCTGGTCAACAACTATTATCTGGGAGGCATCAATGTCCTACAGATGTTGTAGAACCAAAGTGCGTGGAACTACAGAGGATTTGTACTATTCTAAGTCAAAGATTAGAAAGACGATTACATATGTTAACTAAATGTAGGGAACTCATGGAACGTATAGATAAGGTAATTGTTTATATTTAAAATTATCTGAAACGATGTCTATTTCTAAATATATATACATAATAGGCAAACACATGGTGTACACGTGGTATAGAATTACTTGCCTCGCAAAACAATACGACTCCACCTGATCAAGCACTTCAAGAATTACAAGAATTAATAGAAGCTGCTGAAGAATTTCACCATCCCAGATGTATTTTTCAAGACTCTGTAATGCCTGAAACTAAGGCTCTTATTACTCAAGTATGTATATTACGTAAATAAAATTATATTTATAAAATTATTGTGCTTATAAAATAAATTATTAGGTTTTGCAAAGAATAGAAGATGTGTCTTTGATGTGTGATAAAAGAATAATGACACTAAAACAGCAATTAATTAAACCAGCAAGACCAGTTCAAACTGTAACACCTGAACCAGTTAAACCATTGCAATCACTGCCTCAAATTGTTAAACCTGGAAGAATTCTTAAAAAAGCTAACACTATGCCGAAGGTAAATTCTTATTTTACTTAATTTGACATATTTTCAATTTTTTTTATTTCTTGATTATATTTCTTTAGATGGAGATGAGTCCTATAGAAGGGGAATCTTCATCTCCAGAAAGTGAATCTAAAGACACAGAAGCTTTACGTTTAAAGCGTGGACATGTTTTAGCGGAATTAGTTGAAACTGAAAGAATTTATGTTGCTGAGTTAGGTACTATAATTAAAGGATACAAAATGGAATTAATAAATGAAGCAATGGCTCATTTAGTACCAGCAGCATTAGTCGGCAAAGGAGATATTTTATTTGGAAACTTAGAAGATATATACATTTTTCATGGAGAAACATTTTTAAAAGATTTAGAAAATTGTATTTCAAATACCGAACTTGTCGCGTTATGTTTTGTACAAAGGGTAAATATCTATACATATATGCAATTTTAATCAATTAATACAATATTAACATACATATTTTTTAATATGATATTTAATTTTTTAATATGCATTTATCTTTTTAGCGCGAGATGTTCTTCAGATTATATAGTTATTATTGTCAAAACATTCCGAGATCTGAAAAATTACGAGAACAGATACAAAATGAACCACAGTTTCTTGCAGCTTGTCAACAAAAGCTTGGTCACAAATTACACCTTGCTGCATACCTTCTAAAGCCTGTTCAACGTATAACAAAATACCAATTGTTGTTGAAAGATCTTTTAAAATATAGCGACGAACCATCGTGTTGTACTGAATTACAAGAAGCATTAGATTGTATGCTTGTTGTATTAAAATGCGTTAATGACAGCATGCATCAGACTGCAATTACTGGATTTGGTGTAGGCATAATATTATTTAAAAGTAATTGTTTATGCCATTCAATAATGTAATACTAAAAATGCGTATCCCTTTTAGGGCGATCTAAATGCACAAGGTGAACTCTTATTGCAAGGTTCTTTCAGTGTATGGAGTAGCAGTAAACGAGAACGGCTTCTCAGGTTAAAACCATCACAGCGACATATATTCTTATACGAAAAGGCATTTATATTTTGTAAACATAGTAAACCACAAGCTCATAATAAAGCTACATACCATTTCAAAAGATATCTAAAGGTAATTTTTAATATCTATTTCATATTTTTTATTCACTTTATTTATATTATATCTAAAGAGCATAATCTTATTTTTTATAGATGTCACAAATTGGATTAACAGAATCGGTAAAAGGTGATGCCAGACGTTTCGAAATTTGGCTACAAGGTCGAGCTGAAGTGCATACTATACAAGCATCTACAGTTGACGTCAAACAGTCTTGGGTCCGTCAAATTAAAGGCGTTTTAATGTCTCAATTGGCTGAGCTTAAAGGGAAACAAAATTCTGCTCTTGGAAAAACCAATCACAAGTATATATTATTATTTATAGGACACATTAAAAACTTTAATGATTATAATAATTTTGCACAAAATATTTGTAGACCTTTGCGGCAGACGATTTCATGGGAAGCTCAAGGCAGTGTTTCAGGATCGTTAAGAACTCTTTCAGTTGATGGTAGCAGTGTTATATCGCATATTACAGATATTTCACAGTCAACTGAAGATGATATTGCATGGAGTTCAGAAAACAGTAATACTGATGATGAAGATGCTTTCAGTGAAAATCCTGGTCCTGCTCCTGTAAGTTTCATTTCAAATAGTGTAATTAAATAGTTAGATGCTTAAATAATTAGAAAGCTAATGTGCTATCAATTTTGTATTCAATTAGGGTGGAAGATATGTAGCATTAGCTGATTATTGTGCAGTTGGTCAATCAGAAGTTACAATGCGCGAGGGAGACAATCTAGAGCTTCTTAAAGTCGGATGTGCTGGTTGGTGGTTTGTAAAATTAATAAGTACTGGAATAGAAGGGTGGGCACCAGCAGCTTACTTGGAACCAATGAATCGGAAGAGTTCACGTAGCTCACAATCAGTTAACAGCCAAGAAACTATATGAAACAGGCGTCTAACACACTAGATTTTCCTAGTGTGTTAGATTCATGCATGTATTCAAAGAATATCACTTGTTGAAGTGTAAAATTAACAATCATATATTGGCAGATTTTATAATGCATACAAAGATATAGACAAGAATTCAGAAATTTTGCATAATATACATACAATATAACGAAACTTATTTCAGACCGTATGATATAGCAATATATGCTTGATCTATATGATTAATCTGTGAATAATTAGAGCCACATATATAACTTTTGAAATGGAAAATTAGATGAGGAGAATCTAAGATATTAACCTAATTAGTTAATCCTTCATAAAAAGGTATAAATAACGAGAAACCAGGGAATGAAAAAATGCATAAACTTTTTTACTACATAAAGTATATTACGAAAGAATTTGTTGGTGGAAGCGCTTTACGCAAGCAAATAAAATTTGCATTTACTACAGAAAAATAATATTAACTAGATTTATTCTTACAAAAAGAATAATATTTATAGAATTGTATAAAACGTATTTGGATAGCGGATTAAAAAATTTATGCACGCACATATGCATATTTACATATACATACAGTTATAGTAAAGTAAATTATACGGATTTGTATTCAACTTTGCATTTTCTAATATTGCAAAGAAAATAACTACAATGAAATGCAATCATTTCAATCACATAGTTACTACTTCCATAAAAGTTATATAAAATTACAATTTATGAAATTTATCTATACTTGTGACCTGTATAATATTTAACTATATGCAAATATTCCAAAGTTCATATTAGATTTGGAATATTTTTATTTTTTGTAATCTATTAGCAACGCTCGTAACATTTTTTAAATAACAAAGCTTGTGTACAGTTACAAAAAGAAATCAAATATATCTGTGTTATATTTATAAAATATTTTTCAGTAAAATTATGTAATAAAATTATTATTTACATATTTATTATAATAGTATTATATTATCATTGATATAGTTTATTTATTTTTACAAATAATTTAATAGAACATAGTTTTCGAAACTAAAAAACGAATTTAGAATATTTGCAAATTATTCAAAAGTGATTATGAAGTCTTTAAAATTATAACGAGTGTACGAGTATTTATTTAATGCTTCTGCGATTGAATTATAAGAATTTAGCAGAAGTACTTTGTTGAAACATTAATATAGGTAAAATAGAGAATATACTGTTAATAAGTCTTTGTGACCAAACAGCTTGATATTAGTACTATTTTAGTACGTAAAAAATATCTTATTTAAAATATTTAATGAAAAAGAAATGAACGATTATAGATTATTAAGTAATATATACACAAGTTCTCAAGAGCATGAAAATTAACACCAAGCATTGTGCAATATATAATATAATACTGTAATAAACTTTAGAAGAATATTCCAGTAAAAAAGCAATTCCAATTTTTGCAGGATTGATAATTCATCAATTTCTTAAATATTTAATGATAATGGAATAGGTATAATATAATTTGTACTGAAAATTTATATGGATATAGAAGAACTAAATAAGAAATTGTTATGAATTAATATCTTTCTTTTATAGTTAAATGTGCAATTATTACATTCTTTTTATGATTGGGATCATGATTTACATTGCTTGGAAAATGTTAATTAACTATAATTTATATGTTATTTATATATAACAAAATTCTATTGTGATTATAAGATATATAGATATATATATATTGAGTACAAATAATTTATTTTAGTAGTATGGCTATTATTGAAATAAATTCGTGTTATAATATATGGATATCATAATAAATATGATATTTAAATAATTTGGAAATAAGATTAATAGCTACATTGTTAATGTTTTATTAATAGAAAATGTTGATTTTAGACCAAAGAAAATTGTGCATCTTTTCTTGGGATAGCAAGGCAATGAAAACATTATTAATTTATAATCGTTAACTATTAATTTTTAGTTTATTATTTATCATTCTCACCCACCTTTACGCCGTCCTAATATTAACTAGTTATAGGATTCAATAATTCATCAAGTAAATTATTTTATTTGATATTTAACCTTTGATTTACTTCTTTTGCATTTTAAAAAAACGTAAGATTTTATGTGTATTCAGATATAGCAACATTGTGATAATAAAATTTGAATGTGGTAAATAGTTACGGAAATGATTTTAAATCTGATTAATTATTCTGCTTGCAAAAAATAACCAAATTTTAATTTTTTGTATGTTTTTTTATTGGATTTTTGTGTTCCAATATGTACTTAATATAAGAAAACAAACAAATATTTAGGTTATCAGAATTTTTGTAGTAATATTACATTAATACATAGACAATAATTATATGTGGAATGTGGAATGGTTCTATTATGAATGCATGTGGATGTAATAATAATTTTTGAAACAAATAAAGCAATGTTATTATTGTATTTTTTTTTAGAAAAGAAAACTGGATGATTTTGCAGAAAGGAAAATGTTTATTCTATACAATATATTAATAGAAATAGGCTATAATTATTAGGAATATTATTAGAGATGTTAGTTTTGTTTACAAAATTGAGATCTAATTTAATTCAAAAAAGAAATATCAATCCTGATTGAAATATTGTCCATAAGTTTTTAATAAAGGGTTCTTTTTGTTGTTCCTTTCAGGTAATTTTAATATAATTTATTTTTACGCGAGATTAACTTAATTATTAATATTTCATCAATGTATAATATAATTAAGCATTGAAGAATAAGCTTGCCATACAAAAATTTTAGTAAAAAAGAATTTAGGTAACAGTTTTTTGTTGAAACAATGAAGTTCTGATCAATTAATATTAGTTCAATCAATATTAATTGTAATAATAATGATGCTGTTATTATGTTTAAATTAACAGCCATAAAAGTCATAGTTTGTAATAAGTATTTAAAATTCGAGACTAGGTTAAAACTAGTGTATTTAATATTGTATTTTGTTTAATGTATTGTCTGTGTGTTTATTAAAATAATATAATAAGATAAAAACATAATTCCATGAATTCCAACATGAATTCCAAAAATAATTTATCCACGTAAGTCTATACTTAAGTTTATTAAACCTATAGCTTTATTTTCTAATTTTACGATAGAAATGTATAAATATACATACTTTGAATATGGCTATGTGTATAAAATGCTATCTTATATTTTTTCAGATTCATATTCTTTAGTAAATGTTGTAGGGATTATTAAGACTCTCTATCCGTTAATGAACACGATTAAAATTAATTTTAGAATGTTTGAAATCGAAATTTAAATTTAAATTTGTACAATCGATTTAATTTGATTTAAATCGATATTAATTTGAATTTAGAACGATAGATGAGGTAAGTGTTGTATGTATATACATAGTACAAATCATTGCGCTACATTCTTTTGGAAGAATCAGAGGAATTTATGGTGCATATTTGTTGGACACGTTGTGTATAACAGTGATTTATATTCTTGATAGTAATCTTTAATATAATCGTTTTCATAAATTTCTGACAATTTTACTAAAAAAGTTAGCGCTAACAAAAAAATGGCTCCGCGTGCAGAAGCAGTGCCAAAGGAAATTTCAGAAGTTTCAAAAGATGTACCGAGTAGAGGAATTAATGCAGTTTTATTAGGACCACCTGGTTGCGGTAAGGGTACACAGGTGAAATTAATTCTTTTTACGCAAATTTGGATGTAATAGTTTTAAAACATTTAATTATTTAATCGAATACTGATTGTATTTTAGGCACCGCTATTGAAAGAACGATACTGTGTATGTCATCTATCTACAGGTGACATGCTTCGAGCAGAAATTAATTCTGGATCCGCTATTGGAACAGAAATTAAAAAAGTAATAGATGATGGTAAATTAGTCAGTGATGATCTTGTAGTTAATATGATTGATAGTAATCTAGATAAACCTGAATGTAAACGTGGTTTTTTGTTGGATGGTTTTCCTAGAAGTGTACCACAAGCTGAAAAAGTAAGCTTGATATCTTCATAGTGATATCTTAATGGACTGAAGTTAATAACAATTTGTTTTTGTTCAACTTGAGAAGATTATCGATAACCTTGAAATGACATTGAGGTAAGATTTTGATATTTTTTATTAAAATTCATTTCTTTTCTATTACAACAGCTTGATGAAATGTTAAAGAAGAGACAAACCAAGTTAGATGCTGTGGTAGAATTTGGAATTGATGATAATTTGTTGATAAAGAGAATCACAGGTCGTTTAATACATCCTGCAAGTGGCAGATCGTACCATGAAGAATTTTCTCCTCCTAAAGAACATATGAAAGATGATGTAACTAATAATAATTATTTTTATTAAATTACAACTTACATATGAAATTAAAAAATATATTAAACAATATTTTGTTAATAGATTACTGGAGAGCCATTAATTAAAAGATCTGATGATAATGCAGAAACACTGAAGAAACGATTAGCAACATATCATACACAAACTCAACCTTTGATTGATTATTATACTTTACAAGGGGTTCATTATTATGTTAATGCAGCTCAATCTCCTAAAAACGTTTTTAAAGACATTGACCACATTTTCCTAAAAACAACTAAAGAAGAGAAAAAAAAAGGTTTCTTCAGTTGGCTCTTTTAAAATGTTGAATAAAGAAATATACCTCGTTTTTCTCTTGTAAACTAAGGGCAATATGTAGTTAATTGAAAAAAGCTTTAGTATAAAAATGACTTTTAACTGAAGTTAGTAATCTAGGTATATGATTTCCCATTTAAAAATAATTTACGCTACTTATAGTCAGTACAGTGTGTAGTTTTTGAACAACTAATATAGAGTACATTAAATGAAACATTAAACAAAAGAAGAGAAAATAAAAGTGCATACTGCATTGGTTAAATTGCAAATAATGTATATGTTTTAAAAAGAACTATTACAAGCTAATAAGTCAAATGCACACATTTTTAAAATAGAACAAGTTTGATATAATACTTTGATATGTAAAACCATTTAAGTGCATAAGAGAATAACGTATGTATATATAATGGAAGACATGATTTACTTACTTAAATACTGTTATAGAGTATATTTTCATTTCTTTTTACTGTATTTCTTTGAGACATACATTTCGTAAGACTTGTAACATTCTCTGCATAAAATATGTATATCATTCCTTAGACTTTTTATAATCGAAGATTATGTTTTGGAACTTTTTTTAGTACAAGAGAAAAGATCTATCCAATAATTAAGATATTTAAATATAAGTGATGTAAATATAAATAACACAAAATTTTTAAAGAAATTTACTTCAATGTGATTTCTTATGTAAGATTTTAATAAGAACATGATTTTTTAACATGAATGATAAAAAAACACTGCATTTTAAAATATTGAACAGTTTTAACGAAATGTGTCATTTATATATATATATATATATATATATATATATAATTATGCGTATAAATTTTGTACGCACAAATGTTTTTATATATTTTAAGTAGAGGCATTTTATTTAAATAAAAAAATATATGAACAGAAAGTAACAAATTTTAAAATACATTATTAATACACTGGAAACATAAAGACGCCTATGTATTCTTACAATTAGATATGGATAACTTTCCAAGATGGCTATAAAATCAGATGCAATGTATATTTTGAAAGCCTATTTTCCATATAATTCAAAGTAACTCAAATATATATTAGTACACTATTCCCACCTTAAGAAATGAATGTATATCTGAATATAGAATAAAATTTCTAATATACTGAAGTATTTGATGTGATTTCTTTCGAAAAAAATGTAAAATGTAACTTTATGCAATAAAATGTATATGAAAAAGTATAAAGGAAATTGTAACGGTTAAAAATGCGCGGTAAGCGAATGGAGAGCGCCGCGTAAATGTATCGCGCATGTGCACAGATTGCCAATTGTTCGTGAGTTTCGTCAGAAGCAGGGTTTGGGACGGGATAAATAAGTTTTTCCGCTTGTCGAACAGAGGGATAAAGAGGTAGAACGGAGAGGGAGAATTCTTTCAGTTTCTCAGTGGAAAACTGTGTTTTCCGTGTGCTGAGGGCCGGTGGCCGAGTGATGCACGCATATGTCTAGGCTCGGGGGGACTCAGGTTCTAGCCACAGCACAGGTGAAGAGGACGGCCGCTGATCACGCAGCGGTGTTAAACTTTGGTGCTGCAAAACGCAGCAAGCTGTCCGCCGTTGCGGTCACGGAGATCAACGAGATTGAAAACATGACGGATACGGCTGCAACCACAACTGATACTCAAAAAAGGGCCAATTTCTCGGCTTTAACCGTTGGGAATCCAAACGGCGTCAACAAGATTTCACCAAGTTTGGCAAGCGCGAAACCTGGTACAGCTAGAAAGCTCGTCATCAAAAACTTCAAAAGTAAGCAAGACCATGGGACATCCTAACCTCAAAATCAGCTGCTACCATTCGTGAAGATTCGTGGTGTAATTTATGGTTGGCAATATGCCTTCGTGAATTGCGACATTATTTTTAATACGACATTAGTACTTTTGTGACACTCTTTCAGCCCACGTTACGTAGCCGAGACCAAATTAGTCATAAATGCGATTAATAAAACTAAACTGACATAACCTAACTTGACATCATGAAAATCCGAAATGGATAAACGTTTGTAAGGCGCGTTATTTGTTTTTTTATGCTTTTACTAGAAGTTTCAGATTACCAATGGTTGTGTAATTAATTAAAAATATCATCTCATACATTTGCGTCTTTAATTTTATAGATTATTGTAGATGACTAATTAGAAACAATTATGAACAGAATATTTGAACAATGACAAAGTAGTGAAATATCAGAATGTAATTATAATCTTATTTTATTTCTCGGCTTTTTTATTTTTTCTTCCTTTAAAATAAATTATTTCTAAGGAAGATCAGTGTGTGATATTTATAAAAATATATTAAATTAATAATTAAACATTTGTACTGTATTAATTTCACTATATGTGTGATTAACTGGATATAAGATTTGTAACATACATGTTAATTTTATTACAGAATTTCATTAAATTTTATCAAAGAAAATTATATATATATGAATTATTGTATATTAGTAATGTATATATGTATATAAATTATTTATATACATTGTATATATAACAACATTTTTAAGAACAATATTTGTATATAAAGATACATTAAAAATTGTACATTTTATTTGTACATTGTAGATAAACCAAAATTGCCTGAAAATTACCAAGAGCAAACATGGGAGAAGTTGCAAGAAGCTGTAATTGCAATCCAGACCAGCAAAAGTATTCGTTATTCATTAGAAGAGCTTTATCAGGCAGTTGAAAATATGTGTAATCATAAGATGGCATCTACATTATATACAAAGTTAACAAGGTTAACAGAAGCTCATGTACAAGCAAATATAGAACAGTTTTTAGCAGAATCAATGGACAGGCATATATTCTTAAAAAAAATGAATGAATGTTGGCAATCACATTGCAGACAAATGATTATGATTAGAAGTATTTTTCTATATTTGGATAGAACATATGTATTACAAAATCCAAGTATTTTATCTATTTGGTATGTTTACAAACTTTTTGAATATTAAAAATGATTAGAAACATTCTTTATGCACATTACCTAATATTTCTGTTGTTTTAGGGATATGGGTTTACATTTGTTTAGAGTGTATATTGTTCTGAATAACTTAGTTCAAACACGTACAGTGGAAGGATTACTTATGCTTATTGAAAAAGAGCGTCAAGGTGATACAGTGGATAGAACACTTCTTAAGTCTTTATTAAGAATGCTATCAGATCTACAAATCTACCAAGATGCCTTTGAAACTAAGTATGAATTTCTGTTTAATATCAACACAAATTGAAATAATATGTACGCTATATTTTTCATTATTGGTTATATTTTGATTTTTATAGATTTTTGGTTGCTACTGAAAGACTATATGCTGCTGAAGGTCAACGACTGATGAATGAACACGATGTTCCTGAGTACTTAGCACACGTAGACAAACGGCTTCAAGAAGAAAACGAACGTTTGTTACATTACCTCGATGCATCTACAAAGTAAGTATTTACTTTTAATATATTGATATTTGATATTGTAACTATGATGTCATTATTCATTTGTTATAGGTGGTCTTTGATACACACAGTGGAAAAGCAGTTATTATCTGAACATATTACTAGCATTTTACAAAAAGGATTAAGTGGTTTGCTGGATGAAAATAGAATTAATGATTTATCTTTACTTTATAATTTATATAGTCGAGTGAAAAACGGCCTTGTAGAACTTTGTCTAAATTTTAATTCTTATATTAAGGTATTTTACGAATTTTTAAATGTTACTCTATGAAAATTGAGTAGATACACTTTTTGTTTTTGTTCACAGAAAAAAGGTAAAACCATAGTTATAGATCCAGAGAAAGATAAAACTATGGTTCAGGAACTCTTAGATTTCAAAGATAAAATGGACAATATAGTTAATACATGTTTTCATAAGAATGAAAAATTTGCAAATAGTTTAAAAGAAGCTTTTGAAGCCTTTATTAATCAACGTGCGAACAAACCTGCTGAATTAATAGGTATATAGCCTCCTTAATGAAACAATAGTATTTATTGTTTGTGTTATCTATCGTTAATTAATTTATCTCTGTACCTACAGCGAAATTTGTTGATTGCAAGTTAAGGGCGGGTAATAAAGAAGCGACAGAAGAAGAATTAGAAAGATTATTAGATAAAATCATGGTATTGTTCAGATTTATACATGGAAAAGATGTATTCGAGGCATTCTATAAAAAAGATTTGGCCAAACGTTTGTTAGTTGGTAAATCAGCTTCTGTTGATGCTGAAAAATCCATGTTATCTAAATTGAAACAAGAATGTGGTGGTGGCTTTACCAGTAAATTGGAAGGGATGTTTAAAGATATGGAACTTAGTAAAGATATTAATATTGCTTTTAAACAGGTAAGTATTATATTTATATTCAATTATATATTGTCAACTTAAAATTCATATTGAGTATGTATTACGTATTTATTAATTAATTGTACAATTTTATACTGTGGATTAGTATGCAGGAAATTTGCAAAGCGAATTATCTGCTAGTAATTTGGATTTAACTGTTTCAATACTTACAATGGGTTATTGGCCAACATATCCTGTAATGGAAGTAACATTACCCCCAGAAATGGTTCAGTATCAAGATGTATTTAATAAATTCTATTTGGGAAAACATAGCGGTAGAAAATTACAATGGCAACCTACTTTGGGGCATTGTGTATTAAAAGCTTGGTTTAATCAGGTATTGTTTATGTATTGTAATAAATGTTTATTACATAGTTACATTAAATAGTATATATTAAATAATATATATTCCATAAAAACATTTTGCTTAAATGTCAAAACAGGGTAATAAGGAACTCCAAGTTTCTTTGTTTCAAGCATTGGTGTTAATCTTATTTAATGATGCTGATAACTTGTCTTTGGAAGATATAAAAGCAGCAACAAATATAGAAGATGGTGAACTTAGGAGAACTCTACAATCCTTAGCTTGTGGCAAAGCCAGAGTGTTACAAAAAAATCCAAGAGGAAGAGACGTTGCAGATAATGATAGATTTGTTTTTAACGCAGACTTTACAAATAAATTATTCAGGATTAAAATAAATCAAATACAAATGAAAGAAACGGTATAGAATGGTTCTTTAATTACTTTTTTCGTGTAATGTAAATTTCAACAATATATTGCTTACTTATTTATCCTTCTTCAGAACGAGGAACAAAAAGCTACAGAGGAAAGAGTCTATCAAGATAGACAATATCAGATAGATGCAGCTATTGTTAGAATTATGAAAATGAGAAAAACACTTTCGCACAATCTGTTGATTAGTGAACTGTACAATCAGCTCAAGTTTCCTGTAAAGGTATGTCATTAACTCATAAAATGATATATTCTAAATATCTGTGTATGTTTAATTATGTGTGGAAATTATTTTCAGCCTGCAGATTTGAAGAAAAGAATTGAATCTCTCATAGATAGGGATTACATGGAACGAGATAAAGATAATGCAAACGAGTACAATTACGTTGCATAACCTGAACCAAATGCCAAAGTCATTTTAGGCTGGGTGGTCACTGTGTTTCATAGCAAAAAACCAATTTGTTTTGGTGTTTGCCTATTGTGAATGTGACATATTAAATAAGGAAAAAATGGAAAACTTAAAACTGATTGAATGTTGGTACAATGTTGCATCATGTGGTCAGTTGATAAAAAAATTTAGAGTGGACTCTATTAATTTGGTTTTATAGTGCGTAATGAATACTGGACAATTAAGATCCTCTTTCAACTAGTGCTTTACCATTGTTATTCTTCTTTTGTTTCTGGATTTCGCTAAAAAAGGACCATGTGCAAAATATCTTAACTGATACAGCATTTAAAAAATATATCAACCGTTTTATATGCAGAACAATTTTTAACAGCATACGGATTTAAGAAAATAACATAATAAGAATATTCTAAGAATTAAAAATACGATGATCGAAAGTGAATAAAAATGCGTAATTTATAGCAAATGAAAGATATTATGTACTGTGGAATGTCGAACGTACTGGTCATTGAAATAATTTTAAACAAGTGGGAAATACATTATAAAATAAAGGTTCGTGTATTGAATAAAAAATACTTCATTATAGAATTTTAGAAATGTCGAAAAGAAAGACATAAAACACTACAGTATGTGCATATTGAAAAAATGAACGCCAAAATGTTTGAAGAAATCTTATTAAGAACATAATATTATGAATTTCTATAACAAATTTTTGTACATTACCTTATAATACAGAGTTTATAAATAAGGGGAAAATGCATAATTTGTACAAATGATGTCCATTTTTGTCAAAACAATAGTAAAGCAATATGTATGTGTAAATTTATAATAAAAATTTGATAATAATATGAAATACTCTGCAAGCATAGTACATATTTTATTTATAAAGTGCATATTACTAGAATTGATATTTTTAAATACAATTTTCTGTACCAATAGATAATTTTTCCTGTTTTGAATAATATAAAAAGGAAGCAGTAAAAAGTGTTTCATATTATTATAAAATAATAAATGCTCTGCCACTAACTTTACAATTTTCACCATAAAATTATGATAACTATTTCGACAAGAATACAATAATATGATAGTTAATTACTTTTTACATATCTTTTGAGTTAAGTGTAGCTTGATAAAAATACAAGTTTATAAAAATGTATGTGTTTCCTATCTTTATATAAAAGTTGAAAATTAATGTGATACAAATTATTTATGACTAGTTGCCAACTTGCTTTACACATAGTATGATGTTCAAATTAATTAAAAACATGCGATTTCTTAATTTTATTTAAAATTTACATATTTTAATACTATGCTGTGTTGTACTTTATAACTATGCTCTATGAAGAGTATCAAAAAACTTAAAAATATATGCTGTCCTCCTAATAACTCATATGATTTTCAATATAAGCTTCATTGTTATGTAAATTAATTATTATTATTCTTTAGTAACTCTGTATTACAAGGTTATTTCACAAATGCTTGTTAAAGAAATAATTTATAATTCATGTAAATGCTGTGCAAAATAAAATTTCTAGGAAGATAAAATATAAATGAAATTACTGTAACTATACATATATTAAATCGAATACAGAATTTCTTACTGTCTCTTTTAGTGTAATCTGAAAACGAAGACAGATTATTGTAAAAAAAAAGGTCCAGTGCTTTTTTGTGAATACAAATATCTAATTATATTCCATGAATTATATAAGAAAACACTTCCAGAAAAAAAGTAAACAGAATTTCGTAATGTAGAGATCGATTGAAGAAGAAATATTATTAATACTATCAATAAGATTTGAATCATCCAGTGGCTTGTTCAGTCGTTTTACGTCGATGTAATTACGAAATAGCTTATTAATGGAATTTTGTATAAACATGAAAAAGAATGTTAATGAATCTTTAGCTAATTTTAATGGAAGTCCTGATGGAGAGTTTTAATATAAATTAAAATCATCTCAAACGCAGTACATGGTAAACTCATACCAGAAGTCATTTTAAGAAACAGAGAAAAAAAATTATTATTGTTATACTAGAATTTTCTTATTTTATTCAATATTTTTTAACAATATCCTAAAAGGCTTTTTTTACTATTTAAAGCAAAATTGTCAACGATTGTTTTGAAATTGAACAATATTAAACAATAAATTGTATAAATATTGAATGTTCTTATAAGCTACCTTATACTGCGTTTCCTCTGTATTACGTTGAAAAACTTATTTTTGTGTAATCGTACGTAGATTTATCAAGATTGTAAATAGGGTAAGATTCCATACTTGTAATAAAATAAAAGAAAAAAACTCAAATTATGTTTTTTGCATGATACATTGATTATTTACATTTTATTTACAAGATAACATATCATATTATAAAATTATTTATGTTTTTAGAATTATGATCGAAATATTTATTTTAAATGTATCATACTTCATAAGCATTTTATTACAAAATCTTATTTTACTTTTATAAAAATAGTTTATAAATATTTTATTTTTTTGAAAAGATACCTTTCTAAATGTTATTTTCGATCGGCCTTCTTATCCTCTTAATTTTTCTACATGCTCCATTTTTATGTCGATTTCGAAAAGCAAAGATTTTGCGAAGTTACTAGCACTAGCTTCCTTATTCAAGAAGTCAGATACTAATTTAGAAGGCGGTTTTCCACCTCCATGTACTAAACATTCCTTTCGATATCGATCGCCTGCCGTTCGATTGAAGGGATCTGCTTGAAAGTATGTTTGCCATATCCAAGAAGCAATTGCTCGAGATACTAAATAGGAGTAATATTTCGCACCATATCCAACTAGATGAGAAAATCTTAATTGCCATGCCTGCAAATAAAATCTTCAATTTATAACATAAATAAATGAAGATTCTTTTATTATAGAAATTAAAAATGGCAAAAAATACGTACTGTATTTTCGACATAAGGAAGTTCATAGTATTTACCCTGTATTTCTTTTAAAATTTCAGTTGATGGCTTTTCTAATGGGGCACTGTGATAAACTTGATCTAACATGCTATAATATATTTGATTTTGTAATTCAGAAGCACAAAATATGTTCTTTGAGGCATATAATTTATCTAATAATGTTATTGGTATTTGTTCCAAAGTTTGGAAGTGTTTAGCAAACGTGGATACAACCTAATAGATATCATAATACATGTCATATGATCAAAAAAATAAAATTCATTTAATAATTATCTAAGTTGCAAGAATATAACTTACTCTTGGATCACTTGCAAAATATTCCATTAAAACACTTGGAACCTCTGCAAAATCTGTGCTGCATCTGGTTCCAGTTACATGTTGGTATTTTGTTCTACCTAACATAGAATGTAATGCATGGCCCATTTCATGGAATAAATTTTCTACAGAAGCAGGAGTAAGTAAACATGGTTTTGACCATGTTGGAACTGGCAATGATAACATTAATACTACTATCGGATTCTGAAATCAAATATTTGAATAGTGATTAAAATTTTGTTAAATTAATATTTTATATTTTATATATTTCTTATTCGTTTAAGCTATACTTGATAAGATCCATCTGGAAGTTGCCTTCCACCTCTAATGGTAAAGTGACAGTCTTGATTAGGTTTCCCTTCTCTTTCAAAGAAATCACAGTATATATAACCCAAAACCTCTCCATTTTCGTCTATTACAGCAATTTTATGTACATTGCTTGCCCAAACTTCACCACATAAAACTGGTACATACTCCAATCGAATGCCATACAATGCTTGTATTAATATGTTAATGCCATCCATGCAAGCACCAAGTGAAAAATATGGAGCAAATTCAGTAATGGACATATTCAACCAAGTCCTTTTTGCTTTTGTTGTGAAATATGCTGTATCCCACGGCATTATTTTCTACATACGAAAAATAAAAATGTTTAAAAACAGAAGATAGTGTAATTTATTTTCATAATTTAATAAATTTATAGGTAAACCTGTTTTACAGGCGATTCAGCGTCTTTCATCTTTTGCATCTCATTAAAATCTTGCATTGCTCTAAGTTTTAGATTATTATTTAAAATATTAAGGAATTCATATATTACTTCAGGTCTTTCTACAGTACTTCCTTTAACAGCTCTATAAATTATTCACTTTTAATACATAATAAATATAGCTAATGTTAACTAGTTTTAATTAATTTCATTTGTATCAACAAATGTTTGAAACTACCGGTGAGCATAGGATGGGAAACCACATAGTTTAGCCAAAATGTGTCTGGAGTTCAAAAGTTCTTGTAGAAGATATTCTTGTTCTTCATCAGGATATAGAAATATACGATATGCTGTTTCTCTAACAAGATTATTAGGAGAATCTACATAAAGTCCTTGAACATGTATTTTATTATCTTTCTGTGTGAAACTGTGAAACATTTAAAAAAATATTCAAATCTCATATGAAAGAAATACGTTGTTATTTTCAAAATTATTTAATTGCAATACTTACTATTGCCTTACATTAAGTGGAACAAAATTAGCATCTACTGCTCTTGGATTACTAGTACCTGCCATAAATTTCTGGCCTACCTATGTTCAAAAAATACAATCATATAAAAAGTTGACAAACATAATGTAATACAATGTAATATTATAATATATACTTGTAACGTATAATAATTCAACTGTACAACTTTTTCTCTTATAGACTCTGGTAAATGAATAGCACATAATTCAAAATCAGACAAGAATAATGTTGCAACATGTTTATCCACTAGAGATGTTTCTTGAGTATCTCCATTGTACACAACATGTTTTAATGCATTATACAATTCACGATGAGTATTTAACCTGACAAATTTTTAAGTAATTTTCATATTATTTAAAGATAGTGTTTAAAAATAATATAAATATTGATTGATTATATAGTTTTTACAAAAAAGTAATTACTTCTCTACAATACCACTAACAAATAGACAAGTATTCTCTGCAGCTGTAACAAACTGCTTTTCTGGATGTGCAACTCTAATGAACTCTGCTAAATCTGCAACTTTACATAATGTATCAGACATATCATCAAAAATTTCCACCATTTTTCGTTTTCTATTTTGACTTATAGATTCTGTTATAAGTGCATCTGTTTGAGATATTGCTTGGTCTTTTAAAATATTAAATCCTTCTGATGTCTTTAACTCAGGTATTC